GTATGAGCCCATGTGCAGTCCCTGCTCTGTTAGTGCCAAAGAAAGATGGTTCTTGGCGTATGTGTTGACAGCCGAGCGATCAACAGAATTACAGTGAAGTACCGGTTTCCATTCCCCGTCTAGATGATATGTTGGATCAGCTATCTGGTTCTAAGATCTTCTCAAAAATTGACCTTAAGAGCGTTACCACCAAATCAGAATAAGGCCTGGAGATGAGTGGAAGACGGCGTTTAAAACGCCACAAGGGTTGTATGAGTGGATGGTCATGCCTTTGGGTTATCCAATGCGCGGCCTTTTATGGGGAAATTTGTTGTAGTTTACTTCGATGATATCCTCGTTTATAGTCCGACATGGACTTCACACTTCGATCACCTCCGTGCTGTTTTTGAGATGCTGAAAACGGAGTGCTTGTTTGTCAATCAAAAGAAGTGTTCTTTCTTCACTACTTCTGTGACTTTTCTTGGTTTTGTTGTGTCTACTGATGGTGTTCATGCAGATCAGTCAAAAATAGATGCAGTCTTGGAGTGGCCCAGACCAAGAACCTTACATGACATCCGAAGTTTCCATGGCTTGGCGTCTTTTTACCGTCGATTCATTAGAAATTTCAGTACTCTGATCGCCCCTATCACAGAGTGCCTCAAGGGGCGTGATTTCCAGTGGTCTGAGGAGGCAGAGGCCAGTTTTCAACTGGTCAAGCAGAAGATGACCGAGGCTCCAGTTTTGGCACTTCCAGATTTTGACAAAGTGTTCGAGGTAAATTGTGATGCATCTGGCGTTGGCATTGGTGGTGTTCTGAGTCAGGCAGGTCGTCCGGTTGCTTTTTTCAGTGAGAAGCTATCGGGATCAAAGAAAAATTATTCCACTTATGATCTGGAGTTCTATGCCATAGTTCAGTCCCTGAAGCATTGGCGTCACTACCTAGTACAGAAGGAGTTTATCTGTTTACCGATCATGAGGCCTTGAAGTACATCAATGGCCAACACAAGTTGAGTAGACGTCATGCCAAGTGGGTAGCATACTTGCAAGAATTCACTTTTACGCTGAGGCACCAAGCAGGGAGTTTGAACCGCGTCGCAGATGCCCTGAGCCGTCGTACCTTACTTCTCACCACCATGAGTACTAAAGTTGCAGGATTTGAGACGTTCATAGATATGTATGCAGCTGATCCTTCCTTTGGAAGGATATTTCAGGAGGTAACTGAGGGTCACCGTCATGATTTTGTTTTGCATAATGGGTATCTTTTCGTGGATTACAATTGTGCATTCCAGATTGTTCATTGAGGCAGCAAATTATAAGTGAACTCCATAATGAGGGACACTTTGGCCGAGATAAGACATTGGCCCTTATCTCTTCTGAATTTTATTGGCCCAAGTTGACTAGTGATGTGGCCCATTATGTGGACCGTTGTTATGTGTGCCAGCGATCTAAGGGAGTTCTCACCAATGCGGGATTGTACACTCCCTTACCGTTCCTGAAGCTCCTTGGTTCGATGTCAGCATGGATTTTGTACTAGGCTTACCCGCACCCAAAGGGCCTCTGATTCTATCTTTGTTGTGGTTGACAGGTTTTCCAAGATGGCTCATTTTGTAGCTTGCAGAAAGACTATGGATGCTGACCGGATTGCCCATCTCTATTTCAAGGAGATTGTGCGTTTACATGGTGTTCCTCGATCCATCACTTCAGATCGTGATACTAAGTTCATCAGTCATTTCTGGAAGAGCCTGTGGGGGAAACTGGGAACGCAGTTGAATTTCAGTAGCGCCTACCACCCCCAGACGATGGCCAGACTGAGGTGGTGAACCGAAGTTTGGGAAACCTTTTAAGGTGTTTGGCAGGAACGAAGCCGAAGCAGTGGGATTTGGCATTGCCTCAGGCAGAATTTGCCTACAACAGATCAAAAAACAGAACCACAGGTTTAAGCCCATTTGAGATTGTCTATGGTCAGAACCCATCCGGGGTGTTGGACTTAGCCCCTATTCCACGTATAGGACGTTTCAGTCCTAAAGCAGATGAGATGGCAAAGTATCTTCGGGGTATCCATGAGCAGTGAAACAGACCATTCATGAGAGCAATACCAAGTACAAGACTCGGGTCGACAATCATCGTCGTCAGGTACTTTTTGATGTTGGTGATTTTGTTTGGGCTGTATTAACTCGTGATCGTTTTCCTGTTGGTGAGTATAATAAGCTTAAGGATCGAAGATTGGACCTTGTGAGGTCGTGCAGAAGATCAATGATAATGCTTACAGGTTGCGACTTCCCAGTCACTTGAAGACTTCTGATGTCTTTAATGTGAAGCACCTGAGTCATTGTTTTGTGGATCCTGATGACACTACTCTGAACTCGAGGACGAGTTCTTTCCAACCCGGGGCGACTGATGCAGGGGGATCCGAGACAGATGATGCTGAGCTGTCAGATTGCACGTTGATGGCGCTGAGATACCATGAGTTGGCAGATCAGCGCAAAGGCGGGAATTGATTGTGACATGTTCCTTATTGGGGTCGTTTTGAGTATGTTTCAGTCTTTTGGCCATAACTTTGGCTACAGGTGTCAGAATCGCGCATAAGACCCCAATCCGGAAAGCTCTTTTCGACGCGCACGCTCTCCACATGGAGCTACGCTCCATGTGGCCTTTTTTTCAACCTCAAATTCTGCCGTTTTCCCCTCCGAATCACTAGATTTAGTTATTTTTTACTATTTATGATAATATTTCGATTGTTAATTAGGAAGTCAATTTAAATCCGATTTAGACCGTATTTTTGGGAGATTGCTTATTTTATTTCGAATTTCAATTTAGAGTGATTTTCGGGATTTTGCTATTTTTGGCAAAATTCGAATAAATACGATTTTTGCTATTTTTGGCAAAATTCGAATAAAGACGATTTTTTTGCTATAACAGTCCGGCTTGTGGACTGCTTTTGAGACAATTATTGATTTTATAATATTTTATTAAACCCTAGAGACTTTTTTCTCTGGTTTTTGGGCGAATTTTCTCTTATGAATCGTCTGTCGGAGCTAGGCTACAGGATAATCACTATTCTGTCTGGCGTCACAACCCAACTTAGCCGACTCGATCAACAGAATCCATCCGTTTCTTAGGAACGAAACGCAGACCCAAACCAGAGTGTATTTTCGGTTCCCGAACGTGTTACGGAAAGTGAGACTATGAGATCCCCCCTTCGCTTATGGCTTCTTCTTCGTCGTCTTCCACCACGTCGTTTGGGAAGGTTGGGTTTGTTGGATGGTATTTAGGAATGGTGAAGTCGTGGCCCGTTTTAACAAAGAGCGTTACTTCCTCGCTTATTTATACAGCTGCTGATTTGTCTGCTTAGGTAATCCCTTTTCTTTAAAAAGAAAGATTTAACCATGGGGTTTTTGTTTTTGTTTTTGTTTCTCTTTCGTATATGGCTTCAGTTTGGCTGATGAGAAAGTGGAGGAAAAGGAAAGAAAATCCTCTGGGTTGGCTGGAAACTTCACTTTTCCCCTGGAAAAGGATGCATTTTCACACCAAAAACATGGGAGGTTTTCTTTGAGTTTTTGAAGTCAAATATGACTTGTCTTATGCTGTAAATAAGCATTTAGAACATAAAGGCATCACAATTTCTTTACTTATGCTTAAAAAAGTACCATGTAGTAATTCATTATAAAAACGATATATTGATTTATGGGGTATTTTGTTGTCTAATCATCGTTTGAACTTCGTTTTCTTGTAATTCAGTTTAGTTTCATTGTCAGCATTTCTTACACATTATAATTTCCTTTATGTGGTGTATGCATATAACACTATGGACTATAGTTTGCCTGCTGTTGATTATGAACTATACATTTTGCCTCTGTAATTACTTGCATCTGGAGTCAGGACCTGCATCTTTTATCATGTTTTTAATATGGAATTCTACTGTCAGATTATTTCCAAGTCGTCTGCGGGTCCTTACGATTTGGTGAGGACGTCACGAATGGCTGGATATGGATTGTTGATATTAGGACCGTCGCTGCATTTCTGGTTCAACTTGATGTTGAAACTCTTTCCAAAGAGGGATTTGATCACTACTTTCAAGAAAATGGCCATGGGGCAGCTACTTTTTGGACCGTTCATGACTGTTGTTTTCTTCTCGTTGAATGCTTGTCTGCAAGGGATGTTCCTTGCATGTCACAAGCTGAACACAGCTTTGCATTTCAATAGCTACTATGTTATGCCCTTTCCTTGCATGTCAAGAGATAAACACAGGTTTGCATTCATTAAGTACTTCTATTATGCTGCCTTATTTTGCATGTCATTGCTAGGCCTGTAAATGAACTGAACGTTCAGCGAACCGTTCATGAACCGTGCAACGGGAAGTTCGTTTATTTATTAAATGAACGAACATGAACAAGATTTTACGTTCATTTAATTAAATGAACGAACATGAACAAAGGGCTCGTTCGTTTATTTACGTTCGTGAACGTTCGATTATATGTTCGTTTATGTTCGTTTATTTATGTTCATTTATGTTCGAATAGATGGCAAGTTGAATATGTTACGAAGATTATTGAAGTTTGGATTTCAAGAAGATTGTTTTGTTGAACAAATTAACTTTAAGACTTTATTATATTCATATAGCTTATTTATGATTTATGTATGTTTTTATCGTATTCGAACAAATTAACTCTAAAGTTGCAGGTTATATTAATGAATTTTAAGTTGTTATTCTCGTTGTTTACTTTTTTTTACATTCGTTTGTTGTGTTCGAATAAGTTTTTTTTTTGTTCGTTTATTGTGTTCGTTTATGTTCATTTGTTCGTGTTCGTTTATGTTCGTTTATTATTTAAATGAACGAACATGAACAAGCTATATTCCTTAATGAACGAACATGAACAAAAAAAAATTTGTTCATTTATGTTCGTGTTCGTTTATGTTCATTTATTTATTAAATGAACGAACATGGACATACCTCCGTTCGTGTACGTTCGTGCATAACCTTTATATAGCCATATTTGTGATTCAGCTAGGTGTCATATTGCATTTACCACGCACATTCAAGAAATAATTGATGCAAGTACTTAGGTTAAGCTGTTGTGGATGGTTGTGTAGGTGAAAGTGGTGAAAAAATAGTTTCCAAGATAAAGCGAGACTTGCTTCCTACAATGTTAAATGGCGTGATGTACTGGCCCTTTTGTGACTTCATCACTTTCAGGTTTGTCCCAGTTCATTTGCAGGTATGGTTCATCCTTCTTTCCTCTTTCTTCATCTATGTGGCTTTTATTCATGAAATTTATTCCTTATGGCATTCATTTTGACAGCCGCTGGTGAGCAATTCGTTTTCGTATTTATGGACTGTCTATATGACATACATGGCAAGTCTAGAGAAACCAGTTTCGGTTACCTGCTGATTGATCTGCTACTGTTGATTCCCTTGCATTCAAGACTCGGCTTTCTAAGATGGGTTAAAGATCCGATAAGAACTATTTGATCACCGGAATCGGGTCCTTTTAATCTTAGTGCAAGGATGATGCTTAGGGGCAAAACTCGAAGGGATGAATCAATTAGGGAATCATATTGTAGTTGTGAAATTTGGCTTCCTGCCTTTTCTTCTTATTCATGCAAGTTGTTGTAAGCTTAATTGATGTAATAGCCTATAGAAAGTATTTGGGAGCATTTCTCAGTACTCCATTTGTTGTTCTAAATTCTTGAGGGCATTATTGTAAGAATTTTTTTTCTTCATTTTTTTTATTAATTTAGGAAAATATATAATAATATTTGTTCAAATATAACTCTCAATCTTTCAGCATTGAACGTTCACATCCCTAACGTTTATGATACTGGAATCTAGATCGAATCTAAATATTCAGTGAATAACAACAATTCATTTATCATGATTATATAAAAAATTAATTTCAAAGCTGCAGACATAAAAGACAAAAAAATACTACTTTTTGTCTCATAAAATTTGTCTCTTACTAATTTTTTATGATCATTTTTATTTTTATTTATTATTATTTAAAAATCATTTTTGATAAAAATATATAAATAAAAGACAAAAAAGTACTACTTTTGTCTCATAAAATTTTTCTCTTACTAATTTTTTATGATCATTTTTATTTTTATTTATTATTATTTAAAAATCATTTTTGATAAAATATATAAATAATATTTAAAAAAGCCTTCAGTCAAACAATTTTAAAAATTAAAAGTTTTAAGATTTTATAAATTTTAATCGTTTAAAATATTTAAAGTAATCATAATTACAATTTACAATTTTTGTTTTTTCAAAATAAGTCAATAAAAGACATATTTAATAGAACAAAGAGAATATATTATAGAAAAAATAAACTATATATATGTACAGTAGTATAAATAATTTAAATAATTATTTTTTCAAGTTGAAAATGTGTTCAAAAAATAATAAATTTTAAAATTTTATTTTTCATCCTTGTACTATATTAAATTTATGGATTTAGGCACACTATTTTAATTTGATATAATTTGATCCTTTTCTATATTGTTAATGTTATTTTCCAGTCCAAATTATTAATATCGTTTAAAATTTTCATTAGTCAAAATATATGTTTTTTTATAAATAATTAAAATTTAAGATTTGTTATATCATCAAAAGGTGGAATTATAGTTATCAAAGTATTTTTTAATTATAAAAAGTTATTTTTTATTTTTATCAACAATTAATTGATCTAATGAAATAAAACATTAAGACATTTAAATAATATTAATGAATAATGATTCAAATTAAATATCATGAACTGTAAATATTGTATCTAGTACCTAAACTATTAATTTTGGCTTATTTTAGTATCTAAACTTTCATTTTTATTAAAGTCGTACCTAACGTTTAGTTTTTGTTTCATTTTAATACTTTGTCGTTAAAAAATTAATGGACGGGCAGACAGTGGATAGCTCATGTGGACGGACGACCAATCCGAATGGTGGATCACAAGAGAATGATGAGTCGACCAACATAGTCTAGTTTTAGACCCATCAGGTGGTTGACAACAGAGATTGAAGGACGAAAAATCAAAGAGTTCATCGTCGAATTGGGGAGATTGAAGCATTTCTCAAATGAAAACAAAGGCCAAAATCACATTAAAGTGGTCGAAAAGGTGCAGGTTGGAAAGTTTAGACTTCATCAGCCGATGAATGCGACGGCTGGCGATTATAGACATGACAGTTGACGAGTTTGTCTGTTAAGTTTTTAACAATGGGGCACTTAAATGAAACAAGAACTAAACATTAAGTATGATTTTGAAAAAAATTGAAAGTTTAGGTATTAAAATTGACCAAAACTAATAGTTTATGTACTAAATGTATAGTTCACCCTATTATGAATGGAGTAAACTAGACTTGGATGAGTGTCTTATAATGAATCTATAAGACACTCAATCTAGATTAATCTATCAATAAAAAAATTAGCTAACCCTTATTCCCATATGTAATAGGGTAAGGGGGAGGTAGGATAGTATGCTGCCCCTAATGCCAGGTTGAGAGCAGCTTTCGTAGAAGACCTCCAAATTATGAAATGCCCTCCGTGGGACTCGATCCCATAACCCCAAGATTAAAAATATTGTGCTCTACCAGCTGAGCTGAATGATCATTTCTTAATCTATCAATAGGTATATATAAATGATTATACCGAAAAGAATAGTTATTCTTTTCCTAATTTATCATTTAAAAAAATACCTTGAAATTGAGTATAGTATAAGGATGAAATTGAAAATTTGACCAAAAGAAAACAATCTGTTCAGAATGTCAAAACTAGGGTTTCTGGAATCCGTCTATAAATATTCTCGTTTCCCCAATTGGTCAAGCTCCTCAGATTCTAGGTTTTTCAGTAAGCTCGCTAGCATATTTTCGCCTTTCATAGCTTTTGATCAATCATGGGTCACTCTAATGTTTGGAATTCTCACCCCAAGACCTACGGACCTGGCTCTCGCGCCTGGTAACCTCATCTTCTCTCATTTCTTTATTCTTTTGATTGCTTCGGAAATTTCAATTAGGTTACTACTCTTGTTAACTCTTTATCTTGTTTGACTTCAATTTTCTCCTACATTTTATTTTTTTAGCATTTATTGGGTTGAAGTTAACGATCTGAAATAATATTTTTAGGTTATTGATTCGGTGTTTATTTATCGTAATCTTCTTTTTGTACAATAGTGCTAATGATATAGGTTTTCCCTTATGTTGAGATTGTTATGAATTGTGCGTTAAGTAGCATAGATAAACATCTGTTCAAGTATATTTTTTTTGGTCAATATGGTATAGTCTTGGTTATTTGATTATTTTTTGGTGGTTTAATACTCTGTTTTCTTTTTCTTTTAGTCGTGTATGTGGAAACCCCCATGCCATCATAAGGAAGTATGGACTCATGTGTTGCAGACAGTGCTTCCGTAGCAATGCCAAGGAAATTGGATTCATTAAGGTAATACAAATGACTCTTTGAAATTATTAATCTGATGATTAATGTTATCTTAATCTTGATATTTCTCATATCAGCGTTTTTCACCCCTGGTTGCTCTCTGTTTTCCTTTGGCAGTACCGCTGAAGGATTTACGATGCAAAGCAGGGAGGAATTCGTTCAAGTATGTACCGTTTTGGTATGGTTTCCAAATTAGAAGAAACTTTAAGATCATGTTTTTGTTGAGTTTATTCTGGGACCTTTGAAGAGTTTTATGAGGAGTGTTTTTGTTGTTTCTTAATGGAAAGTTAATTGTTGGTTTTACTATAATTGTCTATGCAATGTGAATGATCTCGTTGTCTATGCAATCTGAGAGTGAAGTTTTTAGCTTCTCTACCGCATTTGATCCTTGTCATTATAGTTTCACCAATTTGCTTGTCTAGTTCTCTTCTTCAAAGGGTTTTTCTCTGATGTCCTCCAGTTATGGTTTTGTAGACTTCAAATTATGGAAGTAATCTCAAAGTCTCTTTCTTTAGTTAAAACTTCATTTTCTTGTTTAGGGGAAATATCGATCTTTATAAAAGGATAATAATGCCAAAATAAATCAAAACATATATTATGTTTGAAGTTCAAATCTTGACATTTAAGAAATAGGACTGTAGTAATTGTTCATTCTTTCTGATATGGGTGGAGGTAGGACTAAGTAAAACTCGACTCGAGAAATCGATTTTTTTTTCAATTTCGAGTTATTCAAGTCAACTCGAATTAGTAATTTGTTTTTGAGTTTGGGTCAAGTTGAAATTTTGAAATTTTGAGTTACTTGAAAATTTGAAGATTTTGATCTAGTATTTTGATAATTTTATGATTTAATCCTCGATTTTATTACTCTTTCAATTCTTCCTTCATTTAAAGTTCATTTTTTTTTATCAAATTTGAACCACGTGTTCCTAAACCATCATGCAATACATATGTATTTTTAATTCCTCTTTCTGATAATAAATTTTATATTTTTCAATTTAGTCCCTCAATTTTTATAATTTCTTTATTTCTTCAATTAATTCTTTATTTTAAGTCTCTTTTTACTAAATTTGAACAATATGTTCATATACCACAATATCTATGTAACTTCAATTTTTATTTTTCTACTAAAAATGTACTCTCTTTTTAGTCCATTAACTTTGCATTTTACTCAATTTGGTCTTTTGACTATAATTGTTTATAAATTATTTCTTTCCATCAATTCCTTAACTCTTTTATACTCTCATCAATATTTTATCCTCAAAATACTTTCTTTAAAATATGGTATTATGAATATATTTCATAATTTTAGATTGTATTTAATATATTAAATAACATTATAATGTGAAAAAGAATATAATATATATTTATTTTATATAGTTAGAAAAAGTTAAAGAAATTGGAACAAATCATTGCAATAATACTATAAATAATTATAATAAAATTAGTATGGAAACTCAATTCGAATTTCTTAAACTCGATTCGACTTTAAATTTTTTTAGAAGTTCGAGTTGTAAAATATTACTTGTCAAACTGAATAAATTAAAATTTTTTGACTCGACTCGATTAAATGCTCGTCCCATAGAGTTGCAAACTAGAGAATAGGAAAGTTGAGTGGATGATTTATAGTTGAGAGAGCTTGAGTGAAAGAACCCTTTTTCTAATCTTACACGACGGTGATGATTATACGTAGATTAACATGACAAATAGATTTAATTGTTAGATAATAGATTTGATTAAATTGAAGTCATAATTGGAAGAAGATATAAAACTTTAAAAATTTTGAGATTTGATAGATAGAAGAGTGGCAACAAATGTATAGTTTATGATAAGAAGTACCAAGAAAATGCAACACTTAACTCTTTCTTACCTCGTAATAACATTATTAGTTACAAAATCATATAACAAGTTTAAAATTTGAATCTTAATATCTTTATTTACGTCTTGTTGCCTTGTTTGTAAAAAGGAATCGGTGGAAAGAGAAGAGCAGTGTTAGAAAGGTTGGGTGCAGACAAAAGCAA